TTTCCAGACATTATGTAAGATAGTAGAAATAGAGAATTAAAGACAAAGTTCCTGAGCTACAGAAGCTAGAGTCTTGTAGGGGAGATAAGTGTGCAATAGAAAAATTGCAGCCCTACTGCTATCAAGAAAACAATGAATAACAAATGATGATGGGGCTGTGGGGAAAAAGGAACCCTTCTCCATTGATGATGGGAGTGCAGACTGGTGCAACCACTCTGGAATTCAGTGTGGAGATTACTCAAAAAACTAAAATTAGAGATTCCATTTGACCTAGCTGTTCCCTTTTCTGGTATCTTCCCAAAAGAATTAAAACCATCATACCACAGCAACATATGCACACCAATGTTTATAGCAGCACAGTTTGTAATAGCTAAATCTTGGAAACAGCCCAAATGCCCATCAACTAGTGATTGAATAAAGAAGATGTGTTTTTTAAAAAATTAAAACGGAGTACTACTCAGCTATAAAGAAAGCTAAATTAGAGACATTTATAGCCAAATGGATGCATTTAGCTTGAGGCCATACTCTTAAGTAAAATAAATAGGACACATATGTGTGAACACCACATTGTTTCTCTGGTGTGAGAAATTGGAAGTGTAAGTGAGGACCAAAATGTGTAATAGATACTGTGAAATAGGAAGGAAATGTTCAAAGGGGTAGGGGAACTAGGGAGAAGGGCAGGGGAAAGGAAAGAAGGGAAAGAAAAAAATGAGAATAAAGGAAACAGCTTTTGTAAATAGGGAGGGGTGGAGGGGTTGAAGAGATGGAAGGGAAATGGGAAAAAATAAGAACCAAGATATATCATGTACAGGTACAAATTCCCAATGATGAATGTGATCATAATGTTTACCTAAAATATACCAATAAATTTAATAAATAAAAAAAGAAAAATTGCAGCCCTGGAGTATAATACAGAAGTGTTATAATACCAGAGGTCCACAGTGTAGAGGAGGGAGAATTTGCCTATGTGGGGTGGTGGATCAGTGGCAGAGCCAGGTAAGAAGAGGCTTTTGAAGAAATAGATGACTAGACTTATTCAGATATGAAGTTATGTACAGTTGTGCCTACATTCTTTTGTTTAGTTATTAAGATTTGTTGCCATGCAGCACAGTCTTACTGCTCTTTCATAGGTATAATATTAACTTGACTGGATTTGTCGCCTTCATTATGGAAATAATAACCCAGTATTTTTTTTCCCTTATAAAGTGGAGATAAAAATTAACTTACTCAAGGAGGTTTTTGTAAATATTTAATGTAATTAAATATATGGGAGACAGTTTTAACAATGCGTAGCATATCATAAGTACATTTTAAGCATATATTATTGTCATTCTATTGATATTATATTGAACTAACCAAAGAATTGGAGCCATCTCTTAATTTCTAGGAGTTTAGAAACATTTTACTTCTTATTTTATAGTGTTCTCTTTCACCAGACAGGGGTTAAGATTGATTTAATTAATTTTACATTGAGGGAAAGTCAAGGTTTCCTGAGAGAAACATCAAGGCAGTGTTTGAGAAGGTAGAGGGGGTTGTGCATGATCAAATAGATGCATTATGTGAGGAAAAGGGATCCTTGGGTTATACCACTTCAGAAAGGTCCATCCACATAGCCTCTCCCTTGGTGACAGCCCCTCCTGTGACTTAGCCCCCACCCATATCTTCTAGTCACTTGCCTTTTGATTATGCAGGTAGCTGATCCCAGATTGCAGTGTTTACTGTCTCCAACAGGTATTAGCAACCTGCTGCGAAGATGCTAACACAAGTAATCAATAGAGCAAAGAAAGATGAACCACTGAAAAGAATATAATTAGATGGTAGACGTCACCTCAAATACATTGTGGTTGGATAATTATAGGATTTTCTGACTAAATTTAAAGTGACTCTAATAGAGTATATGCACAGAATATCTGGCACATAGTGAAAACTGAATAACTCTTAAATGAATGAATGGTGAGATTATAAAACATGCTTATACTAACATCGAATCCATACTACTTAAAAGCTGTGTTTTGATTATTTTACTAAGAGTGAAGAGGTTTTCTTAGCACTTTGAAATATCTATCACAGTTGTTCCTCTAAATACTTAATGAATTCCATAACATTGTGGTGTCCTGATGGAATTTGTAATTTAAAGACCACAGGTAAGCAAAATCTAATAGAATCGAGATGTCAATCTATGCCAATGTCTCGTCAGGTCATTTGTTGCTGTATTTGATTATGCTCTAAAGACTTATTTGATTCTAAAACTTGGCCATGGGAAGAGTCCTGGCTTTGGAGTCGAGTAGACCCAGAGTTGTGGCTAGGGGCACACACTTACAAGGGGCATCAGTCATGTAACTGGAATTTTCCTGATCCTCCACAGTGTCATCCAGAGGGATGAATTCAAATCCCTACTGTGTTACATGCTAGCTCTGTGACACAGAGGAAGTCAATTCACCTCTCCATGTTCAATTTCATCTACTGTTAGCATGAGAGCTAAACTGGGTAACATAGTAGCATTTACAGTTATTTAGGCAATGTTTAGCTTTCTGCCTCTTGTTGATGGACTGTGGGAAAGCATTGACTCTGGATCTGTATTTGTACAGGCATTTTTGCATCTGAATATTTTGCCTCACCAAGGAGCAGTTTTGTGGAGGGTAATTGTTAAGTACATAGATTCAAGGATCAGATCCCCAGGGTTGGCCTTCTGGCTCTTCCATTTAATCAACTTTGTGACCTCAGGTGTATTAAATACTTCTCTTCAGCTTCCTCCCCTGTAGGATATGGCAATGATGGGAGCACACACCTTACAGTAGTGTTAGGAGAACTGAATGAACCAGCACGTACAAGGTACTTGGAACAGTTTCAGTTATATATTTAGTAGCAGATATCTGTTAAAGTAAAATCTGAAGGGAACCCAAGGAGCTGTAGACTGATAATATAGAGAAATGGGTGACTTCCTTTGTGGACTGCGTGGGGACTATTTTTTCCCATAGCACGAGCTGCTTGAATTAATCAGGTTGTGTGGCTTGATCTGTCATCAAAAGCATGTGGGCTTTAAATTTTCAGTTACTGTTTTGGTGGACATCCTCATTATATCAAAGTTTATGTATAAATGAAAATGGTGGACAGAATTATGATTTCAATCTGCAAACATAAGACAAAATGAAAATAAATAATAAACAGCTTTAATGTTTTGAATTGAGGCATAGAGGCATAGGGCTCTGCCTTGAAAAAATATATATATATATATATATATATGTACGTATGAATGTATGTTTATACACGCAAATCTATGTTTATATAGGTACATGTATGTTTGTATTTACTCTTTCATTCCCAGTAATTTTCTTCTTTCCCCCTTTCCCTGTTTGGCAACCATTGTGATGTGTTCAGTGTGCATGTTTTGTTAGAATGTGTATTCTCATCTCTGTATGTATATGTATCATTTATATAAAGCTTATTGCAAAACACATTTCATTTTGTTCCTTGATTTTCTTTTGTCACTTGCTTTTGGAAGCAATCCATGTTACTCTTTTGCCTTGCTTCTTTTTTCTTGTTTGTTTTTTTGTTTTTTGGTACTGGGGATTGAACTCAGGCCTTTGGGCTTGTGAGGCAGGTGGTGGCACCACTGAGCTAAATCCCCAGCCCCTGTCTTGCTTCTAATGCTGTGAGTGCTGCAGGAGGTAAACATCACCTGTCACCTATCTCCTCTCCGGATGGTGGGCACTTACATTGCTCCCAACTTCCTCCCATGCCAGTGAATGCCTTCCTTCATAGCCTGTGACAGATTCTGCCTGAGAATTTCCACCAAAATTGTGAAGTTATTATTCTCTTGTCTGCTACTTTAAGAATTTTGATGACAATCTGATTATCATAGTTTTATAAATATGAAAAGAAGGCTTCCTTCAAAAGTATTTGGGGTACTTGGTTAGTTAATTGAAAATTTATTTAAACTGGAGATTTGTAAAAACTCAGAGATAATTTAAAGATTTGGTTTTAACTTTGAATGTTTTAAGTGTACTTTATTCGCTTTTTAAAAAATATAGGGTCAGGGTTTTTCTTTGCTGTATATGTTTACTTTTGTCTTTGTAGCATGGATCAAATTTTGGAATCCATTTTCATGGTTGTTTTTGTAAATGAACATGCTGAGTGCCTTATATGTTTTCCCCTTTTACTTTCTTTAAAGTGAAATAAAGTAAATACATTATGAAGAAATCACGTGCACATTTATTCCCAATTTTAAAATTTTCTTTTACAATCATCCTACCAAAACTACTTGTCTTTATCAAATATTTCCAAAGCATTCAACTTAGTTTCCATAATAGAAATTGCTTCACTCCCACATTTTATTAGTTTAAATATGTCATCTGTAGTTACACAGAACAAAATAAAAGGAATTCTACAAATGTGGAATTCTACAAAGGTTTTTAATTTGGAGAAGCCCTAGTTATTAATGGTTGTGTCTGGACCTCAGGCTTTCTTTACTTGAGTTACTTAGGAGCTTGGAGGCTGTAAGCCATGTTTTTATATTTTTCATAATAATAATGTCCTTCAAAGTTTAAAGACATGGTAGATGTAGAGGCATATCCTGCATGGCTATGTGAGTTTTATAATGTGGTTTACTTTCTGTCTTTTGTCTTCCCTATAACCTTAGTGTTTGGCCTAGTCACTGGCATGTAACTGGAGGCTAAAACAAACATTTGTTCAATAAATGAATAAATTAAGACAAGGAGACCCCTTAAGTGTGATATCTGAGGTTATCCTATCTTATCTGAACACTGTGGTGTTGAGTACCACATTTAAAGGACATCTTTGGGCTATTGCATTTTAAATAGAAATTCAAGGAGTATTTTCTTTTGTTTTCCCAGTAAAAGAAAACAATACCTTCCCTTTTTCTCTATGTTAGTGATGCTTACATTTAAACAAAGGTTGCTAAAATATTTTTGTACAGATTTGTTTTGCACGGGGTTTACTGCTAATTGAACTACTTTCGTTTTGGATAGTAACAAGAAAAATAAAGTTAGAGCAAGTTTTTTATTCTATACTCTAAGAAACAAAACTATAATAGGTGGCTGGCTGGGCAAATGTCAATTATATTTTTATTTATTCCCTCATTCAACAGATATTTATTAACATTCTATTGGGCAGTCACTCTGATGAAAATATTGACAAAGTTATCTCCATGGAGTTTGCATTCATATCAAGTGGAAGGTAAAAATAAAAAAAATAAAAAATTGATCAAACATAGCAATGATATACTCTGATAAGAAGTAGAAAGTAAACAAGGGGCAGGTCCAAAGACAGTGAATAACAGAGAACACAGGCTTGCATTTTGGATGGCTGCTCTGAAGAGGTGACATTTATGCTGTGACCCAGACAGACAGGTTTGAGGGACCAGGGATGGCCACACTCTCAGAGGGAGCTGCGGTTTTGGGTACTCTGAGATGTTCATGAATTGCTTCAAGGAAGCTAAGAGGTGTGTGAAATCCAATAAAGATAACCCATTTTTGAAAAATGGTGCCAATGGAGATCCCCTCACACCCCAAGGCTATTTAGGACTCATGCAGACACCATCTGCACCTGCTCTCTGCAAAATCTTCTAACGGCAATGTATTTATGCCCACTTTTCTCTCAAGGAATCTTGTGTGTAAGGTTGGACACTTCCCTCTCCCTCAACCCCTGTTTTAATAGAAATGTGCAGACTGGCAAAGGAAATAAAAAAGGGACAAAATGTGACCAGTCAGTTTTAAGAACCTGGATAGCTCATTCTCAGCAGATTAAGGGCTGTTCCCCAGTTCAGATGATTCTGTTCTGTGATTCTCACTTTTCCTCTTTTCTCTCCTTTTGGTTTACACTGCTCATTAGCATTTCTATTAAGCACTCCTGAAGAGGAGAAAAATCAATCAGGGAAAGGAGCTTCAATTTAAGGCTTGGTGGGTGAGAAGTGGAATCCATTGGCTACAATCAGCTTATTTTTGGATTCTCTGTGGATTTCCTTGATCTATGTCATTTCTGTCCCTGTGTAGACCCAACATGAGTTGATGATATTGTGTAGCATGCATGTATACTAAGCTAAGGATTTTTGGTGGATGGATGTATTTAAACTAAAACTTCTAGGTAACAAAATTATTTAAATGATTACAATATGAAGAATATCAAGGAGATGCTAGTGGTAAAAACAGATTCTACTTAAAAGACATATTGTTGTAGGGGCTGGGGATTTAGCTCAGTGGTTTTGTCACCTGCTGCGCAAGCGCAAGGACCAGAGTTCAATCCCTGGTACCAAAAAAAAAAAAAAGGATATATTGTTCCTCATAGTCATGGGTCCAGCACTTTACAATACGGGATTCTTTACATTCTTGAAGTAGCTGACCCTGCATATTATATTTGCAGCCCTTTGTTATTCCTGACAATTCCCTTTAACTCACACAAGCTGAGTGTCTGTTATTTATGGTCTAGGGCCTCATGAATAGTATATTTGAAATATTGACAATGTGAGAAAAGCCCAAGCATATAACCCCAAATCATAATCATCCTCCTCTTTATGTTTGCAAATTTCTTGAAATTCTCTTTGTTCTTAGTGCTTAGGCCTGAGGCTTTTTCTCTTGAATGATCTACCATGTTCCCAGGAGTTCCAGAGCCATACATCTGTGGATGCTTGAAGAAAAGGAGAACCTAAGACCAAGTTCCATGGGTAGGTCAGAAAAGGACACAGATTCTGTGTCCTTGGTGGAGATGGGTTTGTGCTGAACTTGCAAAATGTATGAGTTCAGTGTCATTTGTTTTCAGTATTTCCTGAACAATTGATTTATCCCACATTATTAATGAACTTTGCAGCAGTTCTACTTGTCAGAGCCTACTCTGTAGGTGTCAATAATGTGAGGAAACCTGATGTTAGTGAATCTAGCTTAAATGATTCTGTCATGCTAATGATTCAATACATCAGGACAAATGTCAGCTTCTTCCAATATGTTAATTCCTCTGATCCTATTTACATAAACTACAGTCAATGAAATACAAGTTACCCCCTAAGACAGTTAATGGGGATTTATAAAGGATTTTTAATTTACTATTTTTTTTGTAGCCTCCAACATAAATTCTTGAGTTGAGAAAAGGGACAGAGAAAGAGCAAGGATCACAGATTGGGAAAAGGATGCAAAATATTTCAAAATCTCAAATATAAAAGACATAAAATGTATTGTTTAGTCCTTTCTTAAAAGTTCCATGCATTTGCATCTATTGCTTTCAACAGGAATATCAACTTTCTAAAGAAACTTGATCACAAAGCATTGATGAATATTTCTTACATTTTGGGTTGAGGTTTCAGTTTCTCTAGTTTCCTGAAATAATTTACCAGTTCATTAGTTTTCCCAAAGGATGGTTAAATCTGGGTTTCTCATCTCTGCTATTAAGCCTTCTTATCTCCCTGGGACCACTGACATATGATAGCAATGTTTATTGTGTAATTGCTACTTCTTTTACTCTCAGTTCTAGGTGCCTATACATAACAACTTATAATTAAGATTGAGAAATCAGTTTCCTTTTCTGTGATAAAACACATAGTTAACTCATTTGTCCAAGGAAGTCATTATTTTTTTCTTCCTTTTCCTGGTTCATCTTCCAAGCTCTAAGGTTTCTATTTACTTGGGGTTCTTTTTATAAGTTTTATCAATTGATAAACAGCTGGGATTTATATTCTTCCTATACCATTACTTGTACCATTAGCATCTCTATTTTTCATTCTTGCAAACATCTCTCTTGTCTGATAATTTCCTTGGCTGTTTTGGGATAGGTCTCAACATTTTACTTCTTTACCTACACCATCTAATGTAGACTACTTATCCATGTAACCTTTGTGGAGACTAAAAAACTAATGATAGACCTAGAATTGTATTGCTGACATTTGTGTAAGTAGTTTAATGCCTCCTGCACAGTCCCTGAGGTAGTTTTCTGTCTCACTTAAGGTGATACAACAATGATATAGCTAATGCCAGTGGCACCATCAATCATCAAAGAACAGCATCAGCAATGGGGACTGCTTTTTTCATTTTTACTGCAGTGTTTACCAGCCAGCAGCCTGGTGACTTGTTCCTTTGTCTATATTTTAGGTTGCAAAATTAGTTTAATAAAGTTATACAAATCATCTCTCTTACCTTAGTTGTTTTGTTTAACACACACACACATTACCCCTGCTCCCCATTTAGTTTCAAATATGCAGAACCTAATACTTTAAGTGTCAGCACAGTGCATTGTCTGGATCATATTTTGGTCATTATTTTCCTTAATGCATAGAATGTGGATTAGTATTCTACTTGTCATTGCCTATGATGAATAGGTAAGAGTATTTTATTAAGGCATGTGTACTATGTGAAGGAGAAAACTGTGGTCTTGGATGACAGTTCCAGTTCATAACTGAGCCATTAGCAGCATCTTCATTTTCTGAAGATGGCTTCTGCTATGCAAATAAGGCAAGTATTTTCATAGGTAACTTTAGAGGGTTCATTTGATTTTGAAATTTACTTTGATGAGTCACTCAGGTTTTAAATTCCATGGGATCAAGGTCTGATTTTCTTTTGTTTCACATGATGTTAAGCATAATGTCATGCTTTGTAGTAAAAAAATGTCTAGATATTGTGTAGAGTTTTTCCAAATGGTATTGTGTCTTTGTAGCATCTGTGTTGCTTTAAAAAGTTATTGAGGTATGATTGACATAACAAAGGCAATGTATATTTAATTATAGGACTTAATGAGTTTGGAGATGTGTACACCATAGAAACATCGGCACAATCTGTATCATGAACATATCCATGATTTCCAGTATTTCCTCCTGCTATCACTATTATTACTACTAGTATTTTTTTTGTGCATGCCAAAAACAGTTAACTTAAGATCTATCATCTTAGCAAATTTTGAAGTATACAACCTGGAATTGTTAACTAACTATAGACACTATATGGTAGATCTCTAGTCTTACTCATCTTGCATAACTGAAAGTCTATGCTTTTAACTAGTAGCTCCTTGTTTACTCTCTCTCTCTCTAGACCCAGGTAACCACCATTCTACTCTGCTTCTTTGAGTTTGCTTTCTCAGATTCTTCAGAAAAGTGGCCTACTGTAATGTTTGTCCTTGAATGTCTGGCTTATGTCACTTGTTGTAATGTCCTCCAGGTTCATTTACATTGTAAACAGAAGAATTTTATTCTTTTTAAGGTGAAATAATATTCTCAGTATACATACTATATTTTTAAAATCTATTTATCTGTCTGTGGCCATTTATGTTGTTTCCATGTCTTGTCTATTGTGAATAATGCCTCAGTGCACAAGGAAATGCAAATGTGTCTTTGAGAGGCTTGTTATAAATCCTTTGGGTATATACCCAGAAGTGAGATTATTGGATTATATGGCAATTGGGTTTTTACTTTTTTGAGGAATTTCCATATACTGTTTTTCATAGTGGCTGCACCAATTTTTACTCTTATTGATAGTGTCCAACAGTTCTCTCTCTCTACATCTTTGCCAATACATGATCTCCTTTATTTTTGACAGTAGCTATTCTAACAGGTGTGAGTCATTCTAACAGAGTAAAAAAAGCTATGATTTTGATACATTTCTCTGATGATTAATGAGTTTGAGCCCATTTTCATATGCCTGTTTGTTGTTTGTATGCCATTTTTTGAGAAAATGTCCATTCAAGTCCTTTGCCCATTTTAAATCAGGGTTATATATTGTTTTGCTGTCAGGTTATTTGAGTCCTTTATATATTTTGGATATTAAGTTCTTATTGGATACATGGTTTACAAATACAGTAAAACTTTTGTTTTAGAGCATAATCCATTCCAGAAACATGCTTGTAACATAAAGAACTTACATATCAAAGTAAATTTTTCCATCAGAAATAATGGACACTCAGATAATTCATTCTAACCCCCCCATTCATATAAAATGATTAGAGTTCTGTAGTGTTATACAAAATAAAAAGAAAGTGCAAAATATTTAAAAAAGCACAAATTAACCTGTACTTATCTTTGAAAACCTTCGTGGCTAGTGTGAAGGAGACAAGAGAGAAGAGGGTTATTATGTAGGATGACTTTCACTATCACTCATGGAATCACTTCTATCTATTGGTACAACAGAATCTTTTTTTTCATGCAATTTTAACAAAGAACCCATCCAACAACACTTGTTTTTGCCTCCTTTTGAAGTGCAGGAGACCACAGTATTGATTATGCCCAAAGCAGGTGGTAAGCAGTGCTGGATGTGAAGAGTTAACCCCACAATTGACTTGTTTATAGAAGTGAGTCAGGCTGAAGGTTTGAGTAACTCACACTCAAATTCCATTCCCACATCTAAGACCTTCTTAACTAGAAGGGCAATGTTCTAATTATAACCATATATTTTGTCTATTTTGTTCCTAATTCGAGAATACTTTGTCTTGTCCTTTACCAGCCTTGCTTTCATTAGTTTCCATAGAAACTGGACAGACTGTGCATCTTTACATGTAGTCCTATCCTTGCGAGTAGCTCGCCTTTACCCAAATTGATTACCAATAAAAATCAATGGCTTGGATGGACCAGTGTCTTTTGCTGGTGATCCAGCATTGGCTATCCCAGCTCACACTTTTTTCTTTAATTCTGTCTTTGAGTTTTTCGTTTTATTTATTTATTTATTTTTTCTTGTTTTTTTTCTTTTCTTTTCTTGGAGTTTTTCTTTAGCCTTGCATCACATATTGAGCAGGAGACTAAAAACTACTGCAGAAGTCTCTAGTATTGAGATTTTGCAGAAATGTGATATTGTAGTGTTGTTAAACAGATTCATTGCTTGTACTACCTCAGCCTTATTTTGGGTGGTACGTTTCACAAGATTTTGCAGTTTCCCACATTTTACACATCTCCCTACTCTCATTTGAAGTGAAGGATTCCTCCACCTTTATTTTTGTCTACAGATGAGATCTTCTCCATGTCCTCTTGCTTTTGGGAGATGATCAGCCAAATCCTTCAGTGCATAGGATGGGGTGGGGAGAAGAGGAGAGAAAAGAACCATTGGCTTAGTTGTGATCACGTGATCTTTGACATCAGGTACTACTCATATTGTAAGACATTACTTCTTTTTTAAGTTAAAATTTTTTTCCATTAAGTTTATTGGTACATTTTAGGTATAAAATACAGTTACATTCATCATTGGGATCTTGTACGTTTACATGATGTATCTTGGTTTTTATTTTCTTCCCCTTCCTCTGCCCTCCCTTCACCCCCTCCACCCTTCCCTATTTGCAAAGAATTTGTTTCCATTTTTTTCTTTTCTCGTATTTTTTCTTTTCCCTTCTTTCCTTTACTCCTCCCGCTTCCCCTACTCCTTTAGACCTTTTCTTCCTGTTACATAATATCAATTATACATTGTTTGAATTACAATATAAAAATTTAGAGGACATTACCACAGATTTTACAGAATTTGAAAGGATATAGAAAGCATATTACAAAAATTCTTTTTGAAAAAAATTTGACAACTTCTAACAAGTTCCTTGGAAGACAAATTAATGAAACTGACTCTGGAGGAAATATAAAATTTGAATAGAATCTATTAAAGAAGGTATATTCCTAGCTTGAAAACCTACCTATATGACAACAGCAGGCTCATATATATTTTAAATGATGAATTATATAAAACTTTCAAAGCAGAAAAAAGAAGGAACACTTCT